GAGTTTGTTAGATATTTAAATAAATGTTAATAGTTATTTATGAAAGTAACTAGCTTGTTTAGTCTGTATCTCAAGATACAATTTTTGAGAAATTTTTTTAAAATTTTGTTTGATTCAAATTTTTTGAAAAAATTTTTCAGAATCATTCTCTCTTCTACACATTAATCAATCACTTTTTCTCTCTCCTCTCTCCTTTTCAATCACTTTTTCTCTCACATATATTTACTCAACTACAACAAAATATCGAATCATTCCAAACTCCCAAACAATTTTCAAAATATACAACCAAATAAACCCAAAAAATTTCTAAACTCCCCCCAATTTTTTTTTTAAAAAATTATGAAAAACCCCATACTCAGTCTGCTTTGGGTCCAAAAATGTGAGGGTCAAAATCCTAAATAGAGTGCATTACAGGCAATCAATGGTTGCAGACACACCAACCAAGTTCAAAGAACATCTACAAGAGATGCAATTTTGGAATCCTGTTAACAGTTAGGAAATGTGTAACTTTGGTGACTGACCCTATTGCCAAAGCAACTGACCAGCCGGGCAATATATCCATGGATATAAAATCAAATAGAGCTTCAAAATAAGATCCACATTCAAATTCAATAATTAACAATATTTTTTTGAGTATCTTCTGCACTATGATATATGTAAGCATTTAGATTGATTTCTTGAAATTTTGTTTTTCTTCATGTTGAGTGTCTAGTTATTTATCCAAAAAAAAAAAAACTATAGAAAAGAATGGATCGAGACTTGTACTTAAGATCACAAATTTGATAAAAAAAACTTTTATGACAATCAATACATGTTAAATATTTTATTTATTTAACTTGCACGTTTCGTGTGTCTACAGCCAGTTACTCACTAACTCAACAGAAATGTAAATGGAAAACAAAGATCTACATTCTTCACATAGCAATGCTTTCACCTAGAAGGAGCATAACAATTGTATTACCAGCTAATATATAGCATCATAAAAGCATGCGAAAATCTTCAATGGAAAAAAACATACGAATAAAGAAAGAGAAGAGGACGATTCTGCTTGTCCACTAAAACGCCTCTGACCAGTTGTCCTTCACCTCGTGCCGCAATCTTCATCTTAATCCATGATATAAAGAGACATGTATGAACTTCTCTCTTTTCCCTCATGTTAAATATTTTATTTATTTAACTTGCACGTATTGTGTGTCTACAGCTAGTTACTCACTAACTCAACAGAAATGTAAATGGAAAACAAAGATCTACATTCTTCACATAGCAATGCTTTCACCTAGAAGGAGCATAACAATTGCATTACCAGCTAATATATAGCATCATAAAAGCATGCGAAAATCTTCAATGGAAAAAAACATACGAATAAAGAAAGAGAAGAGGACGATTCTGCTTGTCCACTAAAACGCCTCTGACCAGTTGTCCTTCACCTCGTGCCGCAATCTTCATCTTAATCCATGATATAAAGAGACATGTATGAACTTCTCTCTTTTCCCTAGATTTTCAGTAACCAAATGGAACAGCAAGCCTGTTGCTTCCTTTTTTGTGTAGATAACAATGCTAAGTATAATTGTCTGTCTCTTCATCTGAAAATGCCATTATTACCTTCTGATGAAGAGACAAAGGAAATTTCCTGGTATTACTATCTATCACAAAAAGGGCAATAACACACTCTCTGGATCCCACACACAAATTTAGTGGCAAAGTGTCTTTTGTCAATTGCATTGCTTGTCCCCAATGATGGCACAACCTTTGGTTCAACTAGAGCCAGTCTCCCATTTTATCTCATTTAAGATTTGGAAGAGAAACAACACTTCAACTAGAGCCAGTCTCCCATTTTATCTCATTTAAGATTTGGAAGAGAAACAACACACACAGATGCATTCACAACATACACACATATACAATATAAAACGCTAAAGCAGAAAATTTTAAATATATTTAAGTACTGAAATAGAAGGAAAAAAAAAATTAGATGAGCATCATATACAAATTAGACTAGCCAGAAATTACCTGATACGTCTATATCTCCAATGAGAGAGAGAGAGAGAGAGAGTGATAGAGAGTACAACGCCTCTGATCTCCATTTCTCCATTAGTTTCCGTCGCGAATGATTTGGCACTGTACTCCAAAATCAATCTTTTCCGCTTGGTTGCCGAGAAAAAAAAGATGGCTAGTTGTTTATTTATTTCTTTTTTTTTCCCCTCAATTTTCTCAGGAAACAACTGTGCCAAAATTATCCGCGACAGAAAACGATGGAGATTGAAGATCGAAGGAGCTTCGGCAGGACATCGAGACCGACTTTAGCAGATTCAAGCTCTTCTCTTCTCTTCCGCGGCGGCTCTTCTTCCCTTCTCTAGATCTAGGGTTTATGGTGTCATATCATTATATATTTTTTGGTAAAGTCTATTTTAACACTTTTTAATTATTGTCAATTACAATTCTATCCCTCCATCAAAATTATTCTTTTGATATGACCCTAAAATCTAAGGCTATGTTTGGTTGTGAATTCAAATCAATTTTCAACACGTGAGCTCGCGCATGACGTTTGGATACGACGTTCACAAGTTGATTCTGCGTGTTAATTCAAATTACATTTTGAAAATCTGTTTGGCAGCTTGTATCTTCACTTTCAACGTTTCTGCCTTCTTCATCCTCTCTGCAACTTTCAACAAGTGATTATCTGAAACTGTTTGGAAATTTGTTTACAACTTTCAACAGGTGAAAATCTGTTTGGAAATCGTCTCTGCAACTTTCAACAGGTGATTATCTGAAGCTGTTTGGAAATCTGTTTACAACTTTCAACTTTCAACAGGTGAAAATTTGTTTGGAAACTGAGTGTAGTGTGAGGTGGGATGACCGGCCGGTAGACCTCCCGGTTGTCCCTACCAACTTCCAACAGGTGATTATCTGAAGCTAAGGTTCAGAAAGTTCAGGTTGTTTTTATTTTTTTTTATAGAAAGGCTGAGATTCAGAAGGTTCAGGTTATTTTTTATTTTTATTTTTACTTTTTATTTCTTATCTATTATTTTTTTATAATATTAATAATTTTTATTTAATATTACATCCGTATACTGAGTTACTAAATTAATAACGTGTAATAAATGAGAAAAAAAATTGATAATGTTTTGTAAGGTTTACGTTATGATTTGTATTTTAAAATATTACACTTAGTGTATTTATGTTAATTTTTATTAATATGTATTCTCAAAAGTTGTTGACTTCAACAAAAAAATTTTAAAAAAATAAAAAACGTATTGTAGAAGATGTTTGTGCAAGCGTAAAAAATGAATCGATAGAAAATTTAATTGACACAAAATAATTGACATAGATTTATTTTAAAACGAAAAAAAAAAATTGGAAAAAAAATTATTCAAAAAAAATTCCTGAAAAAAAATTAATTTAAAAAAAAAATCAATTTTTAATTTCGGTATTTTAAAAATAGTTTGGTTATTACTGTTGATAAAAAATACGGATATCGATATATGAGTTGTGTGTTTGATTATAAATTATTGATTGAATTAAGTTTTGAAAACTATTTCCAAAACATATCACCAAACAAATTTTCTTATTTCGCATGTCACATCAAACTTTTAAAACTTAATTCAAAATACATCTTCAAAACACATTTCAACACTCTATTTAAAAATCATAACCAAACAAATTTTCTACACTCAAATCATAATTCCACAACATACAAACTCAAAATACAACTCATACTTTCAAATCACATTTACAAAATACAACCAAACGCAGGCTAAAAATTCCTTAGTATATTTTTCTTAAATGTGACAACATGACGGATATGATATAACACTCCAAAACTTTGTATACCGATGATTTGCTCTATCTGTGATGTCAGCCTGCGCCCTAAACCACAATCTCTGGTCAGCCTTGCGTAATTCAGGCCTCGTTTGTGATGCATGATGTTAACTCTTTTTAGTTAAAAAAAAAAATTAAAATAATTAATAAGATAAAATGTCGTATGTAAATCATAATTATTTTATTTTTTTTATAATCATCAAATCAATTAAAAATTAGCTAAAACATAACTTTTTAATCAGATTAAAATAAATAAATAACTAAAATATCATGCTAAAAAAGTTCATTCCAAATGAGGGTTCAGTACACACTACCAGCCACTTTTTTAATACAACTTTTTTGATGCAACTTTTTTAGTTAAAAGAAAAAATTAAAATAATTAATAAGATAAAATATCACATTTAAATTAGGGGGATGCACTAATAAATCTTAAATTAATAACTTATACACTGTTTAGTCCTAAAAGTTTTCTTATAGACTGAAAGGTTCCATTACAATGTTTCAAACATCAGATTAATGTTTCGAACATTAGATTTCGAACATCACATTAATGTTTCAAACATTAGATTGATGTGCAAATGGGACTAAATGGAGCATAAGAAAACTTTTAGGATTAAATGGTTCAACTTTTCAAAAACTAAGACTTATGGGTAAATTTTCCTTTAAATTATAATTTTTTTTTTCAATCATCAAATCAACTAAAAATTAGCTAAAACATAACTTTTTAACCAGATTAAAATAAACAAATAACCAAAATATCACGCTAAAAAAATTCATTCCAAATGAGAGTTCAGTACACACAACCAGCCACTGCCATAGCCACAACCCCTCAGATGGGCTATTGAAGGAGTTGCGATAGGAAGAAAAATAGAACAACATAAATTTACGTGATTCAGCTCAGCCTGTGTTTGGCAAGTGGGTTTGTAAGTTTTTTTGGTTATTTTAGGTACAAAAAACAAAATAAGCTATTTTAGTCATAACAAACAAAACATCACATCCAACCCATAATCATTACATTCTTCTCTCACAAAAAAACTCAAAAAAGCTAAAAAGTCCTTCCCAAATCAAACTTTTAAGCCCAGACTAAAATAGCCAAAACAGCCAAAAAGCCAACCCACTTCCCAAACGGAGGCTCAATCTTCAATGTAATTAATTGCATTCTGTAAAAACAAAAAAGACAAAAGAACATGAAGGAGAAGTATATAAAATTACTGTTAATAATCATTCATTGCCTTCTATAATCATATAGATAATAGAAAGATGATGGTAGAGATGTGAAGATACATTGTTCCTCTTTAGCTCCCGTATGGACCAAAGGGGTCTAGTCCGACCTGTGGGACACCTATGTTCCACTTTGATGATCAAAGTCGTTTATTGTGTTGGCCCTTGTGCATAGATTATTCATGAATTTTTTTTTTTAATAATTATAATTATATGATTTTATCATATTTATATTAAAAAAATGAACAACAAAAATGATTTTGAAAATATACAATATATATTTTTTTAAATGACAAGTATGATAAAATCTTGTGGCTACGATTATCAAATAAAATCTTTTTTTTTTTTTATTTCATAAATGATCTCCACAAAGACATACATGTTGAACGACTTAAATTATCATATAACCCGTAACAAATCCACCGCCTGGACTAGATCTCTCTGATCCATAATTAGGAGAAAAGTTGATGCCTAAAACAACGGCTTTTAACAAAATTTTTGATCAAAATATTTATGCTGCGTTTGGTTAGGGGATTTAGGGAGGAATTTAGAAAGAGAAATGAAAAAGGTATGTGAAATGTGAATAAATCATGCCTATATTTCACATAATTTCACACACCTTTTTCCTTTCCCTTTCCAAATCCCTTCTTAAATCCTCCAACCAAACACAACACTAAGGAACAATGATAAAATCTCCTAATTAAACAACAAATCTCATAATCACAACATATTAAATGAAATTAACAATGGGAAAAAAAATAATGTACATACCAGGATTGCTAGTCCCTTCCCAGGCAGAAGCTAAAGCCCCTAGGAAACAAATCAAAAGAAAACAGAAATCATTAGTATGAGTAACACAAAATTGTTTGCATAGCTAAGATGCATGCGCATGTGAGAGACAGAGTACCTGAACCTGCGAAGGCTAGCGAGTTTTACTTTGATGTATCTAATATTAAGTATTCCATCTTCATTTAAGTCGCAGATAATTTTGGCATAGTTAATCACATCCATTTGTTGTAAAAATATGAATTTTGACTCAATATAAATCATCATGAGTGTAGGGTTTTCAGGATCAATATCGTCGTAACATAACGATTTGGTAACTAATTCCTTAGTTTCACCTGGTTTAATTTTTGCTATACTAACATAATGGTCTGGCCTAGTTGGAAGAATGAAAGCTCTAATTTCCATTTCCACACTAGACCTATTCTCAAATGAAGTGAGTTTAGCACCCATTTCATTATACAGACTATGGTGGTGAGTGATCTGTGAGTGTGTGTGCTTGTGTTATGTGTGTGTGCAAAGTGCAAGCAAGATTGAGTGATAGAGAGCCTTACTTATAGAAAGAAGTGTCCTAAAAAAGAACTTACACTGTTTATTTCATAAATTTTAATAGAGATTTAAAAATAAAAATAAAAAAAAAAATAAAAAAGATAGGTAAAATATAAATAAAAATATACTTATATTTCACATATATTTTTCTTTTCCTAAATTCACGAATCAAACACGACCTAAGGCTACGGTTGAATCATAAAATTGGGTAGGAATTATAAATATATATATATATATATATATATATGAAAATTGGGTGGTAGCTCGAAAATTTAAGGATCGAATGGCCTGAAATTTGAAAAGGGAGAGAAGAGAGGGAGAGCAGAGAAGAGAGGGAGAGAGGAGGACGTCGTCGCCTCTGCCGACGCCGTCGCCTCGCCGCTCGTCGCCTCTGCCGACGCCGTCGCCTCGCCGCCTGTGCCTCCGCCGCGAGGAGCTCGTCCAGTCCTTCAGCCTCGCCGCAGCCCCGCCTCCTCCTCCAGCCGATTTTTATGGCCCCCTCCTTCCTCCTCCTCCCGATCTTCTTCTCCACCCTTCTTCTTCTTCTCCCCCCTTCCCTTCTTCTTCTTCTCCTTTTTTCCCCTCCTCCTCTGATTTTCTACTTCTGATAGGAAGACGAAGACCCAAAAAAAAAAAAAAAAAGAGGCAAAACGACGTCGTTTTGCTTTTTCGACCCATTCGACCCACGAATTTTCGAGTTACCAACCGGGGTTGTATATATATTCTCTTAAGTTTGTGTTTTGTTGTTAGTTTGATGTACTAAAATGTTAAAATTATAAGCAGAAACTCCAGCAGGCCCAGCCACGACACCATGGGCTTGGGACTTTGGCCCAAACACGCCTCAAGTTGGGCTAAGGATAAAAAAAAGTTAGGAAAATTACCAAGAAGTCTTTTTTGAAAAACGTGTAGTCTATTTAGGGGTTGTTTGGGATAACCTAAATAAGTATACTTTTTGTCTTTTTATGAAAAGATGTGCAGAAAAGTAGAGAGGTGATGTGATGGAAAAAAGATAAAAAGATGGATTAT